AAATTTTGTCACATCTCCGCCCGGGTCCACCACATCCCGGGTCCGTTCCACCACCGTAGCACGATATTGTCCGCTTTAGGCTTACCATTCCCTCACGGTTTTGTTTTTGGAAACTCACAAGCAACTTCCCAGTGGGTCACCCATCCTGAGAGTGCTCTGGCCTCCTTCTCGCTTAACTTCGGAGTTCCTACAGAACCCGAAGCCAGTGAGCCCCCAAAAGGCCTCGTGCTAGGTAGAGATGGGAATATACATTTAAGGATCACTCCCCTGGACGATGTGGAATGTTATAACTAGTTTTTCATTTTGCCTCCATTCCCCACCTTTAGCTAAAAGTGAAAACTAAAAGCTAATATCGAAAAGTAACACAAAGGAGCCCAGAAACCATTTTCTACTTTTTTTAGCTCTATATTTTCCTTTTCTCTCAATGTTTCAACTCTCATTTCTCTCCTCTCCCTATTCTGTTACATGGAAAAGATAACATAAAATAGAAACAGTATCAAGAAGATCCGAAGAAGTTAATTTCAACTTACGGTGTCACTTGTACCAAGACTGATTACTAGATCCCCTGGGGTACTTACGGTTAAACCTGCAGCTCTAACAAAACTAAATCATATGACAGCGCCCTCACTACATGAAATGATAAACTACAACAACCAACAGCAGAACCATGAAGGAGCTAAAGAGATTTCACCAGTTCATCAGAAATTTAGAAATATTAGCAACATATTAAGTGATTTAAAAGAGTTCAGTAATGGAAACTTGAAAATCAGGCACCTGCCACACTGTTGAGGTTGTCTCCTGTCCACAGAATAACCAAACAATTCTTGTTGAAGCGAAATCTGGAACGAGATTGAAATTTCTTATCTGTTAGGGAAATATTTTCAGAGAGAAAGTATACATGTAACTACAGTGGCTGCAGACTCAAATCATGACCATGGTAGCATAACTCCGTTCAATACGAACAAGTTTTTTATGACAAACTTTCATGATCATCCACATTTTCAGGCTTATTATTTGAAAAGTTATGCAGGATACCACTACCATACGACTTTATCACTCCCTGTGTGATATTTAAAATCTTTGTATCACTTTGTGATATCATAGTCGTTTTTTCCTATTTGATAAGTAGAACTTGGAAACTATAGATTAAGTTGATTTTGAAATGGGAGAAACCTACACAAAAGCGCTTATCCAAAAACGGCAAAACATATAAGATCATAAAAGTGGACTGCGCAAACTACAGTTGTCCACTTCCTGGTTTCAGAGGCGCATTCCATTTGGTTTGCTGTTTTATTTAATTACTTCACCCTAATGCAGGATTATGTTAACAATTTTTTTCTTTTGTGGTGCACCTAGTTTATTTTGTCCCTCATGAAAATTCTAACACAGCATATAACGATCAATGTCAAGAGAACGCTACAAGAGTGCCACTGACCTGTCCAGAAAATAGGGAGCAATGTGGCCAGCAACAGAATGGGCAGGAGCTATCTTTCCAAGTTTTTCCTCCAGACCAGGGGCAGTGGCCTTCAATTGACATCAAGCACCAAGAAAATTAATCAAACTAGAAACAGTAAAATGATAATGTTACTCAGAGGTAACACTCACTCCAAGAAAAAGCGAGAAGCTTAACAAGACCAGAGAAACATAATTAACAAGGAAAATTTACTCTTAAAATATGACAGACCTCTAAAAGTTTATTAGACCAGGCCCTTTTCTTTATATCCATCAAGTTCATCCCTGCACCGTCGGACTCATCAATACAAGCATATTTCCCTATCAGAAGAGATGCCATAAACGAACTAACCAGGGAGATCCTCTCAGTGTTTTTGTAAGCTTCAGGATGTGTCTCGAATATCTTCTTAATCTGTGGGCCTGTGAATCTTTCATAACTGCGTGAACCCGTAAGTTGGGATAACTCCAATGCTCCACCAGCAGCCTTCTCTAACTCTCTACACTGTGCTGTGGTGCTGCTGTCCATCCATATTGGCGATTCATTAACTGAAAATGCTCCTTTAAACTGATCCACCAATGGCTTCTTGGGTTCCAATGATGACAATAGCGAAGAACTTCCATTCTTCCAATAGACACTGCCATGTTGCTGCCCACTGCCGGAAATAGCAGCAATTTTCCCAAAATCCAAATTTGAGCTGGAAAGCTTTCTAAGCACAAGATCTAGAGCTTCCACCCACATCAAGGTGGGTGAAACAATTCTACCATTAACCGAAGGGTCCCGGTAGACTCCGTCTTTGGTTTTGTAATGGGGCAAATCAGTGTCAAATTGGACAAGCTCTGTAGTAACAACGTTGAGATTGGAGTCTAGCACAGTTGCCTTCAGAGACCTTGTAGTAGAAACCAATAACAATTACTAAAACAAAATCATGGTTTACCCAATTCAGATTACAGAGCATCCAGAGAATCATATTCCCATATGAAATTTAATTTCACAGTAAGACAACGAGAACCCAGAAAACACTAACAAGTAACAATCAAGTTTTACCCAATTCAGATTACAGGGGATACTAATTAACTTATCATGGACTGCAGTAAAACAATGAAAACCCAATCCATAACCAAGTAAAAATGTGAACTTGTGATGTGGGTAATTCGGATTTCATGAGCAGCATCAAAGAAAGATATGAAATTGGAGGGAGAACGAGTGAGGGAATGGTAACTTACTGAGTGGAACTGTCAAACCCAAGAAAATAGGAATCCTTGGGGAGAGAGTAATCTGCCATTGGAGAAGTCAAACCAAGTCTGATGCCTTCTGCTTCAAGAAAATTGGAAGCCTTGATTATACCAAAGTTGGTGACGAGTGAAACGGAGATTGGTAATGTAAATGTATTGAGTTGCCGACACAAATCCCGGTAAGGAAATTTTAGCAGCAACGGATAATTAGGAGCAGAGGATTAGAGGACGATAAAGGTTCCTGCTATCGCATGTTTTTTAAGCACATGCTCTCTTTTCATCAATATGGGAATTTTTAAGCTAACATAGTAACACGTGGACACAACAGAATGACGTAGAGCGTGTGACCGTTTGGTTTTATACACGTGGGATAACATGCTCTGATACCATAAAAAAAATTGAGATTCCACCAGAAAACCAATTGCCAATATGAGAAGTAACCCAACTTATTTATAAGCTCATACAAGATCTTCCTCTCATCAATATAAGATTCATTCTCAATACTTACCAATATGATATTTTTTTCAACGACTATATTTTCATGCATCTTTTAATCACATGCTGACCCAACATGTATATTTTCAATAATATATTCTTTATTTTTTTTAATTTTTTTTTACCAACAATAGTGAATAAGAGTTGTCAACGTTAGCTAGTTAGTAATTTAATACAACATTAATAACTTGTACAAAATCTTAACCCACATTGTAGTCTCAGAAGTTGAAAAATTCACCCAAATAAAAAATCGTTTAGCCTTTTAAGTATTGTTGCGAATATTTCATTATTTATCCATTATACTACATTCATCAATTTATCAAGTCATAAGATTACTAAACAACTTTCAATTTTATTAAATTTTTGCATAAATGATCTTTTAATGAAAACCTACAAAATGATTAGTTTAGATTATAAAAAAATATTATAAATTAGAGTCTAGAGAGTAAAGTTAAATGAGTGATTAGCGTCGTAGTAAGACATTAAAATAGACATAATTTAACAAAAGTGGTGCAAAAGAAAAAAAAATGCATGAATTTCATTTCCTAAAATTCATCGCGTGCGGGACACTCTTCGTCATGCACAGCTGCTAAAAGGTTTTCAATAGATGGAAGTGGAAGGGGATTCCAAACTTGTCATTGATGCAGTTAAGAAGAATAAGTGCGGGACTCTTTAGAGATTGAAGGTTATTACTCAAGGCATTCGTCAAATTTCTCGTCTTTCAACCATATCTTCGGGAGGCATTATTTTGGAGAGGCCAACTTTTTTTCAAATGCAATTACTAGTGTAGGATATGATGTAGTAAACACCCACATTCGGTATGCTACTCCCACATGCGGCCTATCATGCTTTTTAGGGACTAAGCCAGAAATTATGTTGAATGAGGGCATGCCAGAAATTATGTTGAATGAGGGCATTTGTAAACAATAAAGTAACATTAAAATTAATAAATATGGTTAAAATTAGACTACTTAGTAGTCTAGATTACCGAAAACAACTCATCAATATCATCGAATATGGTTACTTCTATATGTAACCATGTTATCATTCATATTTGATCTTCCATCTGTTTTTACGACCATTTTATAATTTTTGGGAGTCTTTCTATGTAGGTGGTCATTAATCCTGAATGAGGTGTTGTCAATATAACAAGATTATGTTATTTCATTGAACTGGTTTTAATTTGGGTGTATTACTTGGTGTAAGATAGAATCGAACCTAAAACCTCTTACTTACAAGTGAAGAGGAATACCACTAGACTATAGTACTAAGTAACAACATACTTTAATTAGATCTATTAAGTCTTTGAGTTACTATATGTCAATTAATAGTAATATGAATTTATAACATTTATGTTTTTACTTTTTTTACTCTTGTAAAATTATTAATTATCGTTTACAGTTTGCATGGAATTAAATGTTGTAAAAAAAATTCAAAGCGGCGTATTATAGGCATTCAAAAAAAATTAAATAGTAAAGTTAAACATAATTAATAAATTTGTTAATATGAAAGTAGCCAATGAGTTTTATTTGAGTAACAATTAATATCAATTTTTATGTAAAGAATTAAAATTCAGGGGCTAAATCATATTTTGAATACTTCATTGGCCATATATATGTTCAAGAGTTTGGTTATTTTATAGTTTCCCATTCCCAGCAGGAAAAGGAAACCCATTCCCAGTTCAAAAGTTCGAAACGGAAACATGAAATTACCGGATATGAAAAGTTACAAAGACAAAATTGCTCTCAGTTGAGTTCCTCCATATTTTCCACCGTTAGTTTCTTCCCTCTCGGTCTCTATCTCTCCATTAATTTTCTGAGATGTTGATTGTTAAGAAGCCAAGGCTTGAAGACCCCCGCTTCATCTTCCAGGAGAAGCAAACTATTGGCGTGGCGGACGGAGTCGATGCCCGTGCCGGTGACTACGCAAGGGAACAGATGATGCTGACGGAAGCTACTTTGAGTTTATTAATGTTGAAGTACGTAAACTACTATGGTATCAGCGACAACAATAATTGCTATGGTCAAGAAATGAAGACAAACCTGCAGGATATGGTTTGTGGGTCGGTTTATCTACCCAAAGATAACAAGTTAGGCGAAGACGCTCACTTCATCTGCCCGGATAAGCAGACTATCGGCGTGGCGGACGGCGTCGGCGGTTGGGCCAAGAAAGGCATCGACGCGGGTCGGTACGCAAGGGAACTCATGAACAATTCCTTTATCGCCGTCCATAATCCGAATAACATCAACGTACAGAAAAGAAAAAGAAAGGTCGCGGATATGATCGGAGCCGTTGATCCAAGAAAAGTGTTGCAGGAAACTTATTCTAAGACCAAGGAGAAAGGCTCGTCGACCGCTTGCATCCTCAGCCTTAACAAAGAGAGCGGAGTCTTGCATGCTGTGAACGTTGGAGACAGTGGGTTCTTGCTATTTAGGAACAACAAGGTTGTGTACCAATCTCCAACTCAACAACGCAGGTTCAACTGTCCATATCAGTTGGGGAATGGCATCAGCAGTGACCGCCCTGATTCCGCTTGGGAGGAGTGCATTCAGACAATCCCCGGAGACATCGTAGTGCTTGGGACTGATGGCTTGCTGGACAACATGTTTCCAAGTGAGATTGAGAAGGTTCTCGTACAAGGTGGTTGTGGTGGTCGTGGTGGTGATCATGATCTTGATCTTGCTTGTGGCGCGTTGGCTTCGAGCATCGCCAATCTAGCTCTCTATAACTCGTTTGATAAGCAAAACCCTAGCCCTTTTCAGAAAACGCTAGAAAGGCTGGGTTCGAGCACAAAAGAGGCAAGATCGACGACATTACTGTTATTGTTGCTCAAGTTGTGGCTTTGTAGTAGACTCGCTAGCATTAGCTAATAGTATTCATATGTAATTACAACTTAGTTCCACGGATGAATGAAAATTTTGTTCTTCTGTTAATCAAGATGTATGTTTTTGTTTGTTATTAATATGAATGAAAATTTTGTTCTTGTATTAATCAAAATTTTACGTACATTAAGTCTTTCAATTAATCAAAATTGTGTTCGACGCCGGTGACTACGCAAGGGAGCAGATGATGCTGACGGAAGCTACTTTGAGTTTATTAATGTTGAAGTACGTAAACTACAATGGTATCATCAACAATAATTGCCATGGTCAAGAAACAAAGAGAAACCTGCACGAGATGGTTTGTGGGTCGGTTTATCTTCCCAAAGATAACAATTTAGGCGAAGACGCTCACTTCATCTGCCCGGATAAGCAGACTATCGGTGTGGCGGGCGGCGTCGGCAGTTGGGCCAAGAAAGGCATCGACGCGGGTCAGTACGCGAGAGAACTCATGAACAATGCCTTCATCGCCGTCCATAATCCGAATAACATCGACGAACAGAAAAGAAAAAGAAAGGTCGCGGATATGATCGGAGCCGTTGATCCAAGAAAAGTGTTGCAGGAAACTTATACAAAGACCAAGGAGAAAGGCTCGTCGACTGCTTGCATCCTCAGCCTTAACAAAGAGAGCGGAGTCTTGCATGCTGTGAACGTTGGGGACAGTGGGTTCTTGCTATTTAGGAACAAGAAGTTTGTGTACCAATCTCCAACTCAACAACGCAGGTTCAACTCTCCCAATCAGTTGGGGAACGGCATCAGCAGTGACCGCCCTGATTCTGCTTGGGAGGAGTGGATTCAGACAGTCCCTGGAGACATCGTAGTGCTTGGGACTGATGGCTTACTGGACAACATGTTTCCAAGTGAGATTGAGAAGGTTCTTGTACAAGGTGGTGGTGGTGATCGTGATCTTGATCTTGGTTGTGGTGAGTTGGCTTCGAGCATCGCCAATCTAGCTCTCTATAACTCGTTCGACAAACACAGCCCTAGCCCTTTTTCAGAAAACGCTAGAAAGGCTGGGTTCGAGCACAAAGGAGGCAAGATCGACGACATTACCGTTATTGTTGCTCAAGTTGTGGCTTTGTAGTAGACCAGCTAGCATTAGCTAATAGTATTCATATGTAACTACTGATAACAGTGCTCAGAGAATCAAAGAAAACCAGAAAACTTAGAGATAGAGAGAAAGAGAATTGTAGATAGAGAAAGATCAAAAGATATGAGTTTCGGTGTATTGTATTGAATGAATTTGTTTACAAGATTCTTGCACCCTTATATATCCGAGTACTACCTTATCTCCTAAGGTTTTTAATCCAACCAATCTAACTAACTAACTGTCTTTTATAACAGTTTTACACATCAGCACCATTTTGTGCATTTTGACCATACTACCCTTCTTATGCTAGTCAATACCCCCCCCCCCCCCAATCTTAACTTGGGTTACCAAGTTTAAGATTGTAACAATGCTTGACGAATAATGGACCATGCAACCCTTTAGTTAGAATATCGGCAGATTGATCTTCAGTGGGAATGTAAGAGACTGCTAAATCACCTTGTTGCACCTTCTCTCTTACAAAATGGTAATCCGTATCCAAGTGCTTAATTCAAGAATGAAACACTGGATTCGCACTTAATGCAATCGCAGACAGGTTATCACAGTGTATAACTGGTGGTGATGGCAGAAACAATGCCAAATCCTTTAAAACCGCCCTTATCCAAGCTATATCAGCTACAGTGTGAGCCAAGGCTTTGTATTCCGCTTCAGTAGAGCTCTGAGAGACAGAACTTTGCTTCTTCAACTGCCATGAAATTGGATTATTACCAAGGAAAACAAGATAACCAGTCACAGACCTTCGAGTGTTTAAATCTGCAGCCCAATCTGAGTCTGAAAAAGCATTAAGAATCAATTATGTGGCTGCTGAATACACAATACCATACTGCGATGTACCTTTAAGATACCTCAATATTCTTTTTACAGCGCCAAGATGAACATCAGTTGGTGCTTTCATAAATTATCACACAGAATTAACCGCAAAGGCAATATCGGGCCTAGTATATGTCAGGTATTGTAGAGAACCTACAATACTCCTGTAAAATGTAGGATCAGTCAGTGACAAGTAATGAGTTGTGTGGCTTACATGGTGTTGTGGCCGGCTTACAAGAGTCCATTCCAGCTTTATGTATCAAATCTTTGATGTATTTTGATTGGTTTACAAATATATCACCATTGGATTGATATGAAATCTGTAAGCCCAAGAAATAACTGAGTCTTCCCAAATCTTTTAACTCAAACACCTCTGATAATTCATGAATGACTTGTTGCACTTGGACAGACTGAGAACCTGTCAAAATTATATCATCCACATAGAGAAGTAGAATGATGATATCAGCACCATTGTGTTTTACAAACAAACTTGTGTCAGACAATGAAGCATGAAACCCAATAGCACCCATATAGCTGGTAAACTTAGAATTCCAGGCTCTTGGTGCTTGTTTAAGGCCGTACAATGATTTAAACAGTTTACATACATGAGTAGGATAGGTAGGGTCAATAAAACCTCGAGGTTGTTGCATATAAACCTCCTCTTGTAAATCCCCATGTAAGAATGCATTTTTAATGTCTAACTGTTTCATCTCCCAGTCATGCATTACAGCCATAGCAAGAATGATTCTTACTATTGTGTGTCGAACAACAGGACTAAATATCTCTAAATAATCAATTCCATGCTCCTGTGAGAAGCCTTGAGCCACCAATCGAGCTTTGTATCTCGATATACTACCATCAGAGTTCTTTTTGACCTTGTAAACCCATTTACTACCAACCACATATCTGTTACTAGGATATGGAACTCGCTGCCAGGTACCTTGAGCCCTAAGAGAGTCATATTCTTCATGCATTGCTTTTTGCCAATGTGGAATACTTGCAGCTTTTCGAAAATTAGAAGGTTCTTTAGTATCAGTTATCTCTGTCACAAATGAATAACCACCAGAAAACACCTCATCGTTTGTAATTTGCAATGATTTTAATTCTGGAAAAGATGTCAAGTATGCAGCATAATCTTGTCGTTGTATAGTCCCACTCTTCAATCTTGTAACCATGGGATGAGTAGATAATGCAGCTGGAGATATGGAAGGATTTTCAGAATGTTCACTTAGTTATGGAGAAATAGGAAGTGACACCTCTAGTTGGGAACTGTGATGGACAGGTAACAAGGGTGATTCATTGACTTCTGACGTGGAGTGATGATGATGGGAAGTTGATGTTGGAGATGTGCTTGAAATAAATGGATCAGATGCTTCAATATTAGTACTTTGCTGCACACTTGAAACTGGCTACTGAGAAACAGTATCTAACACTGAATCTGGTTGGAATTCATGAATAGACACACTACTTGATACTGGTACTGAACTCTGAACTGCAGGAATAGGCATTTGGATCATAACCACATCTCCTGTTATCTGCTTAGGCTTTTCAGAATAAATACATCCTCGAGATGATTCTATTTTATATGGAAACACTGCTTCATTGTATATTACATGTCGTGACAACATCAATTTTCTATTGGTCAGATCATAGTATATTGCTTCTTTGTATCCCAAAGCATAGCCAAGAAAAACACATAGTGAAGATCGAGCTTGAAACTTGTTGACAGTATATGGTCTCAGTAAAGGATAAATGGCAGTGCCAAAAACTTTAAAAGTATGAATCTCTGGTATTTTCCCAAACAAAAGCTGATATGGAGATTTAAACTCTAAGGTCTGAGATGACATTATGTTAATTAAGAAGACAGCATGAGAGCAAACATGATACCAGAATATTTGAGGCAAATTTGCTTCTGTCATTAAAGTGATGGCAGTTTCTACTACATGACGATGTTTCTTTTCAGCAATACCATTCTGCTGAGGAGTATAAGGGCAAGAAATCATATGTGAAATACCCTTACTAGCTAGAAACTCCTTAAATTCTTTACTCATATATTCACCTCCTCCATCATTGAAAACATTTAATTGAAGCATTAAACTAATTGAACACAAAGGCAGTGAACTTCACAAAAATTAAACAAGCTTCTGATTTATAAATCATGGGAAATATCCACATGAATCTGGAAAATTCATCCACAAATGTAATGTAGTACTTATATCCTTCTACAGATTGTATTGGAGATGGTCCCCATACATCGGAGTGAACTTTCTCTTTATATCATTCTACAGATTGAATTGGAAATGGTCCCCATACATCGGAGTGAACTTTCTCAAACAAACACTTAGCTTTATTCTGTCGAACTGGAAATACTTGTCTACACATTTTCCCTTTTACACAAGATGTACACATATTTGAACAGGAATCTTTACTAGTAGTAATATCAGCAGCCTTCAACATTCTAGCCAAAATCTCCTCAAATGGATGTCTTAGTTGTTGATGCCAAATTGCAGTTCTTACTTTCTGACCTAAGAATGCAGTACATCGACTTAACCTTGTAGCAAATGAACTATCAAAGGTAGTCACTGGAATCTTGAAAAGTTCCCCATCATCACTCCTTCCTTGGTACAAAATCACCCTTGTGGCCTTGTCCTGTATAAAGAAATCCACATCATCACAAATAAACCAACATCCATTATCGTGGCATAGTTTCTTAACAGAAAGAAGATTGACAGTGATTTGAGGCACATGCAAAACATTATGCAAAATTAAAGTATTAGTAGGATTTGTAATTGTAGAAGAACCAATATTCTTGACTGCCAAACCTTCACCATTGCCAATTGTTATTTTCTCCTCTCCATTGTAAGGATTGACTTGAGAGAGGGCATGAACATTAGAAGTCATGTGGTGTGTAGCTCCGGTGTCTAGAATCCAAGTATCCCCATTCGAGAACCCATGTCCATTGTTCTGTGGAACATTCTGTCCAACATTAGCTTGTGCAGTCATTGCAGTCAAGGAAGGAGGTGGTGGATTACCCTGATAAGCAAAATTATTTCGATGATAACACTCCAATGCA